GGGGGGAATGGTGACGATCCTTCCCCCCCCCCCCCAAATAAATTCGGCTTTAGCTCGGAACCCGCCAAGAGACCATTTCGTCCGGCAAGGTAAGGCGGAGCGGACCGAAACCAAGTGTTCCGATCACTCTTTGAGACCGCGCGCTTGACTTAGTTAGGGGTATTTATTATTGTCAGGCCGATAAATAAACCGTACTTTCTTGAAATATAGACTATGGAGGCGTTCCTCTACGTTTCCGTAAAAAGAGCGAAGCGTATTTTTCATTTTTCCGGGCTTGCTCCTTTTACTGCTGTTAAAGTGAAAATTTTCCCGCTTTTTTCGACGACCGGAGCAGGCACCGGTCACGCGTGCTGTCTTCATCACACCACACCTAGACAGCACCACCAACACCCCAAACCGCTTCCCGAGGAAACTCCACTACCATGGCTGAGCGCCGGAAGCGCCAGCATCCCCAGGGGCCCGCAGCGCAACGCCGGGAGAAGCGCCGTCGAGGAGCTATCGACCGTGCAGCCCACGAACACAGGAGATCTCTTCTGTAGTGGCGGCGGGCGTGGTGGCAGCAGGAGAAGCTCATTGTGCCCACTGCCCTCAGGAACGGGAGCCCATCTACGATCCCAAGCGGCTTCCGTGGGCCCAACACAAGGCGGACCTCGATAAACGGCAAGTCTGGCGGCGCTCGTACCGCATGGAGAAGGCCAGCTTCCACAAGCTTGTCGAGCTACTCCGCCCTTCGCTGGCAGTCAACGCCTTCTTCGGCGGTGAGTGTTGATCTGTAAATGCAGCCGCCCACGGCAGGTATGAGTAAGGCTTCCTCTCATGTATACGTAGAGAACAACGGGGAAGAGCAAGTCTAAAACCCAGGAGAACAACTACTGCTGTAGACTGCCTTGCTGTTTGTCTGCTACTTATCTTTTTCAAAAAAAAATCCCTCATGGAAACATGCAGCCAGGGTATGCATACACGCAGCAGCACTTTTTCTACAGCAGTAGGTGCAGCGTGTCTGCATACGCATACAGCAGCAGTCGTTGTATGGGGACGACAGGAAGGTACTATGGTGGCGCTGAAATAAGTTCAGCAATATGAATAGAGCGTACAACACACGCCGGCACCACTATACATTATACATGCCTCGTCGGGAGCCTACACAGGTTGTCGTTTCCCGTTTCCCGCAATGATAGCATACAAGAGTCGACACGTGCTCCTCATATGCATANGTCGTATCCCGCAACAATAGCATAAAAGTGTCGACATGTGCTCTCATATGCATATGCGAGGTTGGTTGTGGGTTCCGTGAAGAACACAGAGCCGTCTCACAACCCTAGTCGGAAGGTGTATTGGGCGGGTACTCTGGCGAGTTTAACGATGACATGCGTCCTTTGACGCTGGCGATTGCAAACACACCCCCTATGACACTGGTACATATTTCCTGACCGACACACGCTCATCCTTCGAACATTTTCTGCGCGTCGCTCCGAAACCCCACAGTACTGCGATCGGCAATCAACGGCGCCATAGCTGAAGAAGTCCGCGTTGCCGTGGCGTTGAGGATCCTGGCTGGCGCTAGTTACTGGGATGTTGCCCTCATGTTTGGCTTGTCGGTGCCGACCACGTTCCAGATCTTGCGGTCGGTGATCGACTCCATCAACAAGACGCCTGCGGTTGGGGCATTCGATTTCCCCCTGACCGAGGAGGGCTGCATGCGAAATGCCAACAGATTCAAGGTGAGGCCTAACGGTGGTCATTACTGCTTCTGTGGGTTATTCTTGGTGGCATTCTCTTGACCAGCCGCGGGATGTCGTTTTTTTTAATAGTTTTTTTTTTTGCGAAAAGAGTGGCCCGTATATTGTAGGGGTACGCTTTTTGTTTTGCAAAAAAAAGCTGTTTAGAGGGATCGTGTGTGGATGTATGTGCACGCGAGAAAAATAATAATTTTCATGCCCAGGGGCGTGAAAAAGCGCAATGGCTGTCTGATGTCTGTCTGTCTGGTGTCTGTCTGTCTGCGCGCCCTAAATAACCCACCAGACTCGAGCCCATTTCACCATCTCGGCACCAAATTGCAAACTAAAACTTGCGCACAACAAGTAACATTTTGCCCGAGCTGTCCCAACCGCTACCTTTGCAATCCGTGGTCGGTGTCTCGAGATAGCACACCGTTTGTGCAAATATATATGTC